ACTCAGGACCTGGGTGCTATTCTTAAGCTATCATGACTGCTCTCATAAGCACTCGACCACTTAGAGCTGCAGCTCCACTTCTGGCTTTGTTGGTGGTTCGTTGAAGGTAAGAGGTGATCCTCGGATCTCAGCCTCCTGACTAGCTAGGATGACGGGCATGAGCCACTGGGGCCCAAGAGGCATTAATTCTTTTTTTTCTCAGGCTGTTGGGTAGAAAGCACCAGTTCTGCACAGATGATTTCATTTGGGGTCTTAAGTTCCCTTGTGATCAGGCAGAATTCTTCCTAGAGCTGCCTGCACTGTGACAGGCCGATGCTTACGTTCAGCCAGCACGGATAACCCGAGAAAGAGGCCATGATTTGCTCTAGAACTCATGTCTTACCTGCGATCCCCTAGTCTCTTTGCTGAATTCTATGGGCTGCAAAGGAGCCATGCTTACAGTCAAGACGTAGAAAGAGGATCACACAACAGCCAAATGCCGGGAGACAGGGATTCTTTGGGGTCTGCAGATAGGTTCCCATCTTTCCATCTGTTAGTTGGAGAGTCCCAGATGACAACTCGGCCTGCACAGGAAAGAGCACAGCGCTGTTTTCCATGAGGTTTCTACCTGCAATTCCTTCCAATGCAAAGATAACCTCACTGTGCTGTTTGCCTAGATTCCCCTCTTTTTGCTTTCCTATTTATTTACTTATTTAGTCAGTTGTGGGGCTTGAACTCTGGGCCTGGGTGCTGTCCCTCAGCTCTTCAGCTCAAGGCGAGCGCTCTACCACTTGAGCCACAGCGCCACTTCTGGTTTTTCTGCTGGTTTATTGGAGATCAGAGTCTCATGGACTTTCCTGCCCGAGCTGGCTTTGAACTGTGATCCTCAGATCTCAGCCTCCTGAGTAGCTAGGATGACAGGCGTGAGCCACTGGAACCCGGCCGAGACTTTCTTTTTAAAATGTTTCTTCTTCTTAAAAAGGCAATGTACAGAGGGATTACAATTGCATAAGTAAGATAAAGAGTACATTTATTTTTGGACAATGTCACTCTTACTCTTCTTTCCTTCCTTCCTCCCTCCCTCCCTTCCTTCTTTCCTTCCTTCCTCCCTTCCTCCCTTCCTCCCTCCCTCCCTTCCTTCCTTCCTTCCTTCTTTCCTTCCTTCCTTCATCCCTCTCTCCATTCTTTCCCTTCTCCTTCATTCCTTCCTCTCCTCCCCTCCTTCTCTTCCCCTCTCTTCCCTTCCCTTCCTTTTCCTTCCTCACCCTTTCCCTCCCCTCCCCTCCCCTTCCCTCTCCTTCTCTTTACTTTCCCTTCCCATCCCCTTTCTTTCTTTCCTTTTTTCTCCCTTCCTTTCTTCCCTCCTCCCTTTCCCCTTCCTCCTCCTTCCTTCCCTCTTTTCTTTCTTTCTTTCTCTTTCTTTCTTTCTTTCTTTTCTTTCTTTCTTTCTTTCTTTCTTTCTTTCTTTCTTTCTTTCTTTCTTTCTTTCTTTCTTTCCTTCTTTCTCCCTTCCTTCCTGCCTTCCTTCCTTTTTTTCCTTTCTTTCTTTTCTCTCTCTTTCTTCCTTTCTGCCCTTCCCTTCCTCCCCTCCCACATCCTTTGGTTATTTTGCACCATCTCCCTCCTGTTCAGTCGATGCGATGAGCTCTTGGCACAAGTAGAAGGTCTGTCCCTTAACAGGAAGACACACAGCCAACCCCTGCCACCTGCTCGGCCACTTCTGTCTGGCTCTGTGGGGCTCTCATCAGACGTCGAAGCTCCTGGGGTACCCCTCCTCCAGATTCCCCCTCCTTCGATGCTCTGAGGGGTTGGGGAGGTTTTGTGTCTTCCCCAAGGGGGGGGGGGGAAGGTACCCGGGTCACACAGCTGGATAAATGGCATGCATAGGAATGCAAAGGAGAGAAACTCTAAACCTCTCCCAGGTTACCATTTATTTCAGCTCCATATTGAATTTCTGGCCTGGCCTAATGTTGCTGCTTGAACTGCTGCCTCCAAGAATCTTCTTGAAGATGTTTTCCGAAAAAAATCGCAGCGCTCCCCTCCCCCCAACCCAGGGAGAATGGAGGGAGAATTAAGTGGAACTGCCATTTAATTCCCCCCCCCCCTTCATTTCTAATCAGCAATTGATCTTCCAAAGCCTGTGGGACAGGGGAGAGAAATCGAATTCCGTTCTGATGATAATGCTGTCGGATGACATCGATCTCCACCCCGCAGAGGAGACCTGCAGGGAGATGGGATAAATCCACAAACGTCACAAAAATATTCACGCAGGAGGCGGGACACGAACAATTTCAAAGCCCTTTTCTCTTTCTATTTTTTTTTTTTTTTTAATCAAAGCTTCCCCTTCAGAAGCTCTCTTTGGGATTCTTTGAAGAAAATTGGAGAGGAGAACATAAAATAAATGTGAGGCACACTCAGATACACGCTGGTTATTGAGTGTTCTATTCTGGGGTACTTTGGATGCTACATTGGACGATCCGTAATAGAATAGACAGCAGTGGAATTTGCTTTTATGAATGTCAGTAGTTTTCACAAGCCAAGCGCTCAACACGTAACAGACTTTCTGCAAAACATCACACGTCTTGTATCTTGGGGAAGGAGGCTAGCAGTTTCTCTCAGAAAAAAAATAAGCATGAGAGAGTTTAAGGAGCTGGTGAAGGTGTCTCAGGACAAAGGCTTTTTTTGTTTGTTTATTTGCTGGTACTGGGACCAAGTGTTGCTTCAACTATTTCGATCCAGGCTGGCGCTCTACCACTTGAACCACAGCTCCACCCCCAGCTTTTTGCTGGGTTGATTTAAAGAACCTCACAGACGTTTCTACCTGGGCTGGCTTTGAACTTCCAGCCCCAGATTTCAGCCTGATGAGGAGTTAAGATGACAGGGGTGAGCCACCTGTGCCCTCGCAGCACCAGGGTTTAGAGCAAGTCTGTCAGAGTCTGGGCTGTGATGTTCAGATGAACAAGGATATTTGGGGGGGGGGGGTAGGAAGCAACCTCCTTTGGAAGCTTGTTGAACTTCAGGCCCCAGAACCTCACTGAAATAGGGAGATCAGAGCTGGCTGGTGCCTTCTTGGCCACAGGGTGGATGGTAGGGTCTGCCATCTTGTCTTCAGGCTGGGGAAGGAGGAAGTCCTGCCTCCCAGGTGATGGGCGTGCCTGAATCTCTGAAGGGAGGGAAGTCCCACCCCTACCTAATGGTTGTGCCTGAATTCTGGAGGAAGGGAAGTCCCACCCCTAGATGATGAGTGTCCCTAGAGGAAGGGAAGTTCCTCCCACCCTCAGGTGATGGGCATGCTGGAATCCCTGGAGGAAGGGAAGTCCCACCCCCAGGTGGTAGGTGTACCTGAGTCCCTGGGACTGAGCTGATAGGTTGCTAGACCTGTTTATCCAGTGCCTGGGACTGAGTTTCCTGTGACCCTGTCCCCTGACCTGACCCTACTTAGGCCCAGACTAGCTCACACCATGCATCTCCACGTTCCTGTCCTGTCTCTTGTCTCCAGCTTCTTCTCTGTCCCTCTTCAGCTCTCCGTTGGAGCTGTACTGCTTTGCTGGCATTGTTTTTGTTCTCTCTTTCCTTCCCAGCCTTCATGGCTCAGTTACCTAACAGTGCGAAAGTGTGTTTGCTGGGCTGCTGGTCTTTGGGACAGGAGACCACCATGCCGACGCCGGCCTTTTAATAAAAGACGCCAAGATTCCACCTCTCAAAATGTGGCTCCTCTGTTTCCTCACCATCCGACATCAGACGGGAAATCTGCATGGCGATTGTCTTCCCGTGATGGAACTGGCGCTCCAACTCTCAAGAGTCTTGGCTCCCAATCAAGAAGCCTCTCACTCTATGAGCCTGAGGTTCTGGAGGACAGGACATCCCAGGCTCCCTTGGCTACTTTGCTCTGGGGTAGAAACTGAGAGAGGAGCAAAGTCGATTAGCCTGCCAGGGGACACACAGACGGGTGGGTAGAGACACAGCCAGGGGGCCCCAAGCCCTCCCCAGGACATAGCCTGCCTCAGTTTCTCTAGCCCAAGTGGCATGAGAGATCACTGTTGGTATCCTGCTGAAGAAATGTGAAGATGAAATCCACAAAGAGAAAAATGACTTGTCCAAGGGCATCAGGTACAGAGCAGAAGAGCTAGATGATGCTGATGGTGATGGTGATGGATGACAGCGATGATGATGATGATGATGATGATGACAGTGGTGGTGATGATCATGACAATGGTGATGTTGGTGATGATGGGGATGGTGATGATGGTGGTGGTGGTGATGCTATTGCCCAGAATGGTAACAATGAGAATAGCAAACAAAGGGAGGAGCTGTCAATTTTTAGAGCATGACCCTGGACCCCCACTAACCCTCCAGGGTAAGACCACCTCTTTGGCTCTGCGTGGAGTACTACACAGGAGGTAAAAAGCACCAGCCCTCTCCTCTCCAGATTCGGGATTTTAGATCCTCCAGGACACAGGAGGTAGAACAAGACCCATTATTCTCTTGTGCTGTGTGTGGTTTACCCCCCCCCCCACCTCCAAACTTAAGAAAGAAGAAACTCTTAGGGAGTGGAGAACTCGAAGTTGTGAGCCCACGGGGTGAGGCGGAGGAGCTGAGTTGATGGGCTGTATAAATAGTAACCGTACCCACACCGCCTTGTCGGTGCACATCAAAAAGGCACATTAAGGGAATTGAAGATGTCAGCTGGGTTACATCTGAAATGTGACCTGCCTTTATTATCTTGTGAAGTGTGGGGGTGGGGGAGGGGAGACTGTCAAGAACTCAACAACCTCTTCCTGGGCTGCGTGGGATATCTCTGGAAGCCAGAGGGCCTCTCCTGCAGAACGGCTGTGCAAACATGGGGGGGGGGGGGGGACAGCAAACGCGGCTTTGCTCCCCACAGTGCCAGCCATGACTTTGTTTCCCCAAGACCAGGCTGTGTCTAGCAGATGCTTTTCCCTGTGAGGCTGGGCTGCTATCATCCTGGCTCTTTGAAGACAAGCCTCGAAGGCTTTAGTGCTGGCCCGGATCTCCACTCTTAGCTAGCCACGCACTGGTGGCGCACGACCTGGCATCCCAGCTACTCAGGAGGCTGAGATCTGAGGATCGTGGTTCAAAGCCAGCCAGAATGGGGGTGGGGGGGGGTGGGGGGGGGGAAATCTGTGAGATTCTTATCTCCAGTTAAACACCAGTTAAAAAGCCAGAAGTGGACCTGTGGCTCAGGGGACTTAGCATTAGCTTTGAACTAAACAAACTCAAGGACAGTACCCAGGCCATGAGTTCAAGCGCCCCCAGCATTGGATAAAATAAATGAACCATGATACAGCATTATTTCTGGATTGGATTTAGTGGTGGTGGGGGTGGAGGTGGGGGTGGTAGAGCTTGAACTCAGGGCCTGGATGTTATCCCTGAGTTCTTTTGCTCAAGGTTGGTGCTCTACCACTTGAGCCACAGCGCCACTTCCGGTTTTCCGGTGGTTCATTGGAGATCAGAGTCTCATGGGCTTTCCTGCCCAGGCTGGCTTTGAACCTCCATCCTCCAGATCCTAGCCTCCTGAGTAGATCAAATTGACAGGCATGAGCCACCAGCAATGGTCAATTCATGTTGTTTTTTTAATCATTACCTGAACTTTTCAGGTAATGTGATCTCTGCCTCAAAGCCCAGCTATTAAAATTACAAAATGGAGCCTGCCGCCAATGGCTCACGCCTGTCATCCCAGCTCCTCAGGAGGCTGAGATCTGAGGATCGCAGTTCAAAGCCAGCCCTGGCAGGAAAGTCCATGAGACTCTTATCTCCATTAAACCACCAAAAAAAAAAAAAAGCCAGAAGTGGCGCTGTGGCTCAAGTGGTTAGAGCGCTCACCTTGAGTATAATGCGCTCAGGGACAGTGCCCAGGTCCCTGAGTTCCAGCCCCAAGACTGGAACAAGAACAAAAAGTTAAACAAGCATGCAGGGTCTTGAGTTCAAACCTTAGTACTGCCCCCTCAAATTAAATACTATTTCCAAATAATAATAACAGTAATATTTCCAAAGGCAAAGAGGGCTTCGATATAGGGACTTGAAAAGACACCACATGGCATTAATCATGACTTGCTTCCTCAGGAAGCTCTGGGAATCACAAACTGTAAGAATGCAGTGTTGGGGAGTGGTAGGGATTAAGTACTTCCAGGGCAGGTGTCAGGGCCTCTGGACCCCTGCGGGACACACGTGCACACACACACACACAACACACACACACACACACAGAAGTTGTCTCCCCTCCCCCCCAACCTCTGCTCAGCCATCTTGCAGTCATTTTCTCTTGCAGAAACAAAATCTGGTAGATTCATCTTCTGAAACAGCTCAGGGCGCAGATGGCTCTGGCTGTTGATGAATAAGAAAATCAGAGCTCACAATGGGAGAGGCTGAGCTCCTCGGCTCTGTCTATAGGCTCGGCTTTGGAGTCCTTAGAAGGGCTGAAAGGGAGCAAATGACAAGAGTTCACGCATGGGCTTCAGAAGTGAGAAGTGTGTGTGTGTGTGTGTGGTGTGTGTGTGTGTGTGTGTGTGTGTGTGTGTGTGTGTGTTCACTGCTACAAGGAAAACCTCAAGAAGTACCATTTGCTTTTCCACCATTTCCTTCTACCATGTCGAAATAATAATAATAATGATTTTTTTAAACCTGAAGTTCCGATTTGCATTACCATTCTCAGGGAGCCCCTTCCCCACACCCCAGGTGACCCCAAGAGTTATGCTGGTGTGTTTCTGGACCCCTGATAGCAGTGAATCTAGTGCGTTTTCTCTCTCTCCTCTCTCTCAATGTCTTCAGAGTTCCAAGCAGGTCTTCTGAAGGGAAACGGAGGCTCTGTGGAGGGGAGGATCGTTTCCAGAGGCTGTTTCTGGGACTGACTGAACTTCTGACTTGAACTCACCTCCGTAGCTCCCCATCCCGACCATCCGAGTTCTTGCTTGTGCTGACCTCTGTGCGACTGCGGGCGGAAAGCTAGCCACTGCTCCCTTCTCATTCTGCTGGGCTTCCCCTGCAGATCCACAAGTTCAAAGCTGCGGAGGGGTTAAACAAAGTGACAAAGTCTTACTTTACTTTTGGGTGCCAGTCCTGCAGCTAAAACTCGGGGCCTGGGCGCTGTCCCTGGCTTCTTGGTGCTCCACACTTTTTACCAGTTGAACTACAGCTCCACTTTTGGCTTTCTGGGTGGTTTGTCGTGGAGAAGAGTCTCCTGGACTTTCCTGCCCAGACTGGCCTTGAACTGTGATCCTCAGATCTCAGCCTCCCAAGGAGCTGGGGAAAGGCAGACTCAAAAGAGTTGAAGGGCCCCAGAGCTGGCGGCTGCTTCATCTCTGCGTATCTGAGTCACATCACCTTTCTTGTTACCTCTATCTTCTCCTTCTGTCTTCTGAGCAGCTGAATTTCTTGTTCTCCTGGGAGAGACCGTATTGAGTTGGAGAGCTTGCTCAGTTCACTTCAGAAGAATTAGCCCAGGGCACTAGACAGATTCTCATGGAGGAAAAAAAAAAGCCTTATATAAAACCCAGGAAATTAAATTTTTTTTTAAATCCCTGCTTCCTCTTGAAGCCAGGGAGCCTGTTAAAGAAGCTATAAATGGCAGCTGGGCCTAGTAGCTCACACCTGCAATTCCAGCTGCTCAGGAGGCTGAGATCTGAGGATCGCATTTTTGAGGCCAGCCTGGAAAGGAAACTCTTAAGAGACTCTTCTCTCCAATGAACCACCAGGAAAAAAACAAAAAAAAAGAAGAAGCCAGAAGTGGTGATGTGGCTCAAGTGGGTAGAGCGCTAGCCTTGAGCAAACAAAGTTCAGGGGACAGAGCCTGGGGATCTAAGTTCAAGGCCCAGGACCTGCATGAAAATAAAAAATAAAAATAAAAAAAGAAGAGAGAGAGAGAGACCCTTTCCATTACTTCACTACAGACAGGTTGGTATAGGACGAGACCACTTGTTGACCTGAGAAATAATCCAGAACAATGGATGGCTAACTGCATGCTCAGGGATCTCCCTGAGCTATGGTACGATTCTAAATTCATATGTGGCAGGTGCTGTGTGTGTGTGTGTGTGTGTGTGTGTGTGTGTGTGTGTGTGTTCAGAATGTCTGACACTCCCTATTCTGACTGAGCTGACTTGACCTCCCTCCTCTTTTCTTCTCCCTTGGGCCATTTAGATCTTATCCTATCTATCTATCTATCTATCTATCTATCTATCTATCTATCTATCTTCTATTTATCTATTTATCTAGTCTATGTATCTATCTATCTATCTATCTATCATCTATCTATCTATCTCTGTATCTATCTATCATCTATCTATCTATGTATCTATGTATCTATCTACCTGCCAGGTCCTGGATCTTGAACTCCAGGCCTGGGTACTGTCCCTGAGTTTCTGTACTCAAGGCAAGTGCTCTAGCCTCTTAAACTATAGCCTCCACTTTCTGGCGTTTTCGCAGTTCGATGTGAGGTCCTCATGGACTTTCCTGCCCAGCCTGGTTTTGAACTCTGATCGTCAATCTCAACCTCCTGAGTAGCTAGGATGACAAGTATGAGCCGCCCAGTGCTTGGCTTTTTCCTTCCTTTTCTTCCTCCTCCTCCATTATTTCTTCGCCTTCTCCTCTTCTCCTTCCTTTGCTTCTTCCTCTTCCTCCTCCTCCTCCCCCACCTCCCTCTCTTCCTCCTCCTTCTCCTCCTTCTCCTCTTTCTTCTTCTCTCCTTCTCCTCCTCCTCCTCCTCCTCCTCCTTCTCTTCCTTCTTCCTTCTCCTCCTTCTCCTCTTTCTGTCTTCTTCTCCTTCTCCTCCTCCTTCTCCTCTCTCCTCCTCCTCCTCCTCCTTCTTCTTCCTTCTTCCTTCCTCCTCCCTCCTCCTCCTCCTCCTCCTCCTCCTCCTCCTCCTCCGCCTCCTCCTCCTTCTCCTCCTCCTCCTCCTCCTCCTCCTCCTCCTCCTCCTTCTTCTTCTCCTTCTTCTTCTTCTCCTTCTTCTTTCTCCTCTTCCTCCTTCTCCTCCTCCTCCTCCTCTTCTTCCTACTTGTCCTCCTCCTCTCCCCCTTCCTCCTCCTCTCTCTTTTCCTTCTAAATATACTTTTACTCTCTGTAAGTCATTGGACAAAGGGTTTACCAGTCACTGAAGTCCTGCATGAGCCGAATGCACGCTGCCCCATGCCCTGACCTCCATCCTTCTCCCCGTCTCTCCCAACCCCACCCCTCCCCTCAAGTGACCGGCTCCCTTGTCACCCATGGACGAGGAATAGCATGTCTGCCTTCGCCCTGTCCCCTCCCTCTCCGCTCCCCTGGCCTCAGCCCCTTTGGACCACACGCCTTTCTGCTATTTACTTGTATGGTATGGCCATTCTGCCTGGATGCTCGGGGCTGATTGTGTGTGTGTGTGTGTGTGTGTGTGTGTGTGTGTGTGTGTGTGTGTACGTACACATTTATGTTTTATTTATGTATTTTGTCGGTTGTGGGGCTTGAACTCTGGGCGAGCGCTCTACCCCCTTAAGCCACAGCGCCACTTCCGGCCTTTTCTGCTTATGTGGTGCTGAGGAAATCGAACCCAGGGCCTCAGGCATGCAAGGCCAGCGCTCTACCACTGAGCCACCTTCTAACTCCACCTAGGAGAGTGAACCTGAGCCCTTCGGCTCTCCCAGCCTGGCTCTGATTCTCTCTGCAGAGTCTCTTCGTTTTCTCCTTTTCCCCATTCCCTCTTTGGTTGACAGCTGGGGTCTCCAACCAGCATGATGAGGGGAATCCACCAATCTGGGAGGGAGGGGGAGGAGGTTAAACAGGAAATGGCACCAGCCAGAGGCTCCAGCACAAATGCCCGTGACAGGGACTGTGATGTGTCTGTCTCCAGTGTGGCCAGAGCTGTAGTGAACAGGGGCCGGGTCCCCTGTGGACAAAGAGAAGGAGCCAAGGTGGCTATTAATTGAGCATCTACTGTAGGATGCTCTTGAATAATGAATTCTATGGTATGGGGAAATCAAAGCTTGAGTGTCTCCTCTCCTGGGGTCACAGTCGGGGGTGGAGGGGGGGGAGGTTGAGAGGAGGAAGGGGGGCTCTGGAGGTCCGTATTTGGATTCTGCCACAAAAAGAGAGACTCTGATCGTATAAAATAAAATGATCGAAACCGGGCGCCGGTGGCTCCCGCCTGTCATCCTAGCTACTCAGGAGGCTGAGAGCTGAGGATCGCAGTTCAAAGCCAGCCCGGGCAGGAAAGTCTGTGAGGACTCTGATCTCCAATAAACCACTCGAAAACCAGAAGTGGTGCTGTGGCTCAAGTGGTAGAGCGCTCTCCCTGGAGCTAAAGAGCTGAGGGGACAGTGTCTAGGCCCAGAGTTCAAGCCCCGTGACTGATAATCAATCAATCAGCTCAATAAAATACTGATGGAAAT